TTTTCCTCATAACGTCACAAGATATTGGCCGCGGGTCCTCGACGCCCTTCACATGCCCAGTCATGCGGCTAGTTCACATCGCATTATACCGGCATACAGTCGGCGACTCAGCGCCCTAGCGCCCAAGCCACACAGCGCAATTTCATTATTAAAGTTACTAATACAGATATCCGGCCGGCCAAATGTCAGCCGAACTTCTCTGTACACGAAGAAGCCAGCCAGGCCACATCTCAAAATTAATTTTCTATTCAGTTTTGACAGTGTGAGTAGCCTGGGTCCATACTGGATCCACACAGCGCCACATAAGCTGTTTGTTTAATGTAAATTGAAAATTTTCGTTTGTGCCCCAACATATTAAAATTAATTTGTTTTATATGAAAAAGGTTGGCTGCGCGATTCTTACTTTCTTGCGAGGATTTTTTGTTTACACTTTTTTTTTAGCCCAACAATACGTTATGGACTAAAAGGTCGAAACGTTGTCAGCAGATTTTCGAAAGGGAGTCATTCAATATTTTAATTATTTTTACGACATAATTGCACCTTCTAAATATGGATGGTATTTAACCTTCATACAAAGCCGTCAAAAAAATAAAAGTGAGATATATTCAAATACTACGTTCGAACACCTGCAACATAATTGAAGTCTAGATTTTCGAATTACCCTTGTTTCATGTTACAAAACCGCTTTGTAACGAGTTGCGATTTCAGACGAAATGAAACCCCGAGGAATAGAAAAACGGCGGATAACTTGGAGCCAACTCCCACACTAAACCGAACCTAATCTTCCACTCGGGAGTTCTCGCGCAGAATAAATGAATTTTGGGAAACACAAGACATGTAAATCGTACCAGAATCACACCCCGTCGACACACCAACTCGATATGGCCACCTCGGGAATGCCAAACGGCACTGGAGCAAATCGACCACTTTTCTGGCAGACCAATTTGGCACATGTTTCACTTTGGCACATGTTTACAGCAAGAGACAAACAAGTCTGTCTCCAAATGGGGAACTGAATGAGAAGAGTGAGCATTAAGTAAACACTTCGGCTAAATCAAGCCGTCTTCATCTGAAACACATTCTAATTTGTAATTTAAGAGGAAAAAGTTCATTCACATATAGCAATGATATAAAATCTCATGCATGTTTGTAATGGTCTCAAATCAATCTCAAAAAAATTATATATTTCAAAAGTCAAGCTTTCCTTGATCTTAACGGTTGCATAAAGGATTGATTTCAAAAGACTGATTTAAATTTCCTAGACATTTTATGCATATACTTTTTTTCAGTCAATTTTTTTTTAAACCAAATTTGTGTGCCATAATAAAATTCAAAAGCAATTTTAAAACGTAATTGATTGAGTATTCCTTGATATTACACCGACACGCCAGTCCCTGCCAAATTAATCTGACAGAAAACCGCGACAATTTATTCTAGTAAAACAGGTTCAACATATTCTCTCCCGAAACAGAGGGGAAATATAGATTCGAAGAAAATTGAACAGCCTCGCGTTATTGGATCAATCGCATTGGTGTCTCTCTTCACACTCCAAAGTACTACACGCTGATACAATGCCGTGTATTGCGCACTAACACAAACAACAGCTCATCAAATACAGCGTTGACATTTGCGCCTTTTGCCGCTGATATTCAGTCGTATACATTTTTTCCCTGATATTTTTGTTCCTTTTCATTGGTATACGACTGTTCTATATGCTGAAAGAAATTACACAAATTGCGAGGGGATTGTGCAGCATGTACGGCTTTTGTGTGTCATATAAATGCGCATCAATGGATATTCAGGCCACTGTTTCTTTTTGGAATGAATGGTGACGGGTAATCATGAAGAGTGCGTTTGCTTGGACGAAGATATTTCCCCGGAGGCTGTTTCATGAATGAAAATAGTAAGGATGACAATTGAAAAAAAAGTCCCGCTGTTTGGCTAGCTCATCGGGATTCCAAAAATAAGATCTTGATATTAAGTTGCAGGGAATTCGTTTACTCTATCGGCGATAAAAGGTTATCTTGAAACAAAAGTCATAACACCTTTTTCTCGTTAAAGGAAGTTTTCTCAATTATTCATATTGAGGTCATATTGATAAACAACAGTTTTGCTAATATCTGCGTAATATTTCAGTTTATGGAAACAGCCGTTTAGTCAGAAATGTAAGTCCAGTAGCGGACATGCATCTTATATTTTTCCGAAGTTACAAGTACGGAGTTGGCATGTACTTCCATGTCGGCGCGGTCAAAGTAGTTGCAGCCGGTCGCGTATGCAAACATTGTTTGCGCAACCACCTGCAGTGGCCAAAACGGTTATTCACGCATACCGACACTCATAAAAATATACCAATATTAAAAAGCTGCGTATGAGGGTCGCACGTGTATTTTATGGCTGAACAATTATGATAATTAGTCGCATTATAACAAATTTATGGCGGAGAAATTTGTCCTTCGCAGAGGCGCGTGTTAGAAATGATTATCAAAACAATGCCTTGTCACGTAGTTACAGGCATAATTAAGTTATCTGTCATTAAGTCATAATCCAGCTATCACTATGCCTATATAGGTATACCCCAAGTAATGTTGTATTGATTGCTTATAGGTATTTCTACTATTTATACCATGAATAAATTTGCTTGACCCGACCTTATTTTACGATTGGCACAATAAGAACTAACAACTTTGTTTTCATTTTAATTCACAGCAAATTGCAATGTTTAATTACATGTACATTTTGTTACGGTGTTAAATCAACAAAGAGGTGAATCTTTCGACTTTAACTGTTTGTGTATAACTTGAACAGCCCAAATTTGGACTAGGTTCCTCTTGAATTCCCAAAGCAAGAGATGAAAAGCTACCAAGAACTCATCAGTCGAAGATAAACACTCCTTAACACCTGTTCCTATGAATGAGATGTACACAGTGGTATAATCTCGTGAGATTCTAATAATGAAATGACAATTTCAAATGTGTGTTCGGTATGGTTCTACATGAGACGTGACTCGTCTTACCACAAAGTGAAGGCATATCAATCACAACGACCGTGTGTCTGTCCTGTCACCAAGTTGAAAGTCCACTGTTCCATCATTCTTACGAAGCTTAAATTCCAGGGGGAAAAACAACCAAATGAAGTCTAAAGACACGCAGGTCCCAAAATATGCTCTGATATACTAACCTGCCGGTATGATTGATTGCAATCTAGAAGATGAAATGCATTTCGATTCTTCCCTGGACGAGTGTACAAAATTAACAAATAAACCGACCCCAAAAAGGACATCATATTATTTAAATCTGCAAAAAAACATGTCAACAAATTATCATGGTTTGATGTTTGATGTCTGCAATTCTCGGAAGGCATTCTTGTTTGTCCGCTTTTTTTACCCTAGGTCTTATACGATAGTTTCTTATAATACAGTAAAACCAAAAACTCGTTCGCTTCACGAAGGAAATAAAAATGCCGGCACCTGAGATGGTTCAGTTCATCCATTCTTAGTCAAACCAATGAAAGGAGATTCGTCTCGGTAGAGATTGTTTGAGGAGATAGCGTGTCTTGCCCCAGGAAACTTCTATTATTAGTCTGATCCATATAGGATGGGTGGTGTGATTTGGAGATAAAAGAACACAATCGTAATATTACCGAGCTACTGAAACCAAATGAGATGAAACCCACCCGAAATGTTTTGTCAACCCAATAATAATGCAATGCAGCTTTCGATGACGTCATGGGCCACGATTGTGTTGACTTGACGACTTTGCTGAGGATGTCTTGTTTTTAACGCTGATATTTTTAGCAACTTATTATTGACTCGTTATCCTTGGATGCATCTTATTTACAAATAGAAAGAAAACAAATGATATACTTTATATCATGACAAGCAACTGGACAAATTAATTGGGCCCTCGAATATAACCACAATAAACAGGAAAGGGGGGGGGGGGAGGTCATGATACGAAAACAAAAGCAGTGAATCGGTGGTATATTCGAGTCATTCTGCAGGAATATGCCGTTCAAACTTCACAATAATTGTGGGCCCGTTGCGTGAACATATTGACGTTGCATACAACAATTCTCTGAGATACAGATGGGCTGAAGCCTTGTTGGAACTATCAGCAACAAAAGGTGTTCCATAAACCGGTAACTGTGTCGTAGTAATGTAATGTGGTATAGTTGTTTAAAATTCTACCAGCACCCATCGACTTTTTTTCGTTAATTGTCCTGAAGTTTAACACACTGAATCCTAACCAGCAATTTGAATACTTTTTGGAACTCATCATGGTTGCCGAGTTTTATGACACATACCTTATAATTGAAGATAGAACATAATTGTGCGCCCCACCAAAGAATTGGACATTTGTAGTCTGTAGTCTATAATATTATGATTCTATATTACTTCCTGCAACCCAACATTAATATGATTTAAACCTACCACAATTTCGACAAGACTCTTTTTATTTCAATTAACACCGTCAATTAAAATAAAAACTCAACAATTAACGGCCTATTAAATAAGCAGTTATTTGTGAATTGTTGCTTCATGTAGGCCTAAATGCCATAAAATACCAAAATAGATTCGCTTATTTTTTTTTTCCTGATGTGCCCCTTGGGTGCCCTGTTTCTGGACAGATATGTTGCGCGGTATAAATGTGTAATTATTATTATTATTATTATAAATGTATTGCCAGCGATGCTATTCTCCGCACTAATTGCATGTAAATTAGTGCGTCGGGATGACATAATAACGACATGTACTAGCATAATGTTTTTTTTGCTGGGGGCATTACAACTAACAGCAGTATTATTCGTTTACCCAGTAAAATGACCAAGCGTTTCCACATGTAAAACTTGTATCCTCTTTTTTTGAAACCGAAATTCATGTGAACTGTATTTTCTGATACTCCATACCAAGCGATGGTCAATTGGTCACCCTAATCGACGTTAATTACTCGGAATATGAGTAGCTTCATAAGTTTGTAAGCATTTAGTCCACGATTACTTACAGACATCCTTCTTGCGGCGGCTGCTGCAGCGGCGGCGGCTGCCCCTCCATGAGCGCGTTTATTGGGTATAGTTTTCAGGTACGAAGGTTTCTCGTGGCCCGGTTCCAGCATCATTTTCGGTTCTCTCTCACATCCACCTCTTGTCCTCAATTTGAGTTCCTCCTTGTATCATGTCTTGTCTCCCAGCCTCATTTCCCATCCGAGAGTCTGATCTCATCGCAGGGGGTAAGTCCACAATGTTTTTGTTGAATGATAAGATGTTGACGTAGGCTGCTGAGCGTACATACGCCCTATACCGCTCTCTCCTCCGCTCGCAGTAATGTAGTTCGTGCAACTGTGTCACTCAGTAATAAAATGCGATCTACAAAAGTCGCGACGAACCGCGGAAACGTTTTATGGTTTTTATTATCCCGGATTCTCTCCGTCCGTGAAAGCAGCCGATATCAGTGTACAAATGATCACTCATCCCCGGGGAAGATTCTTCATTATCTGCCCTTCGTCATCATCCTCGGATGCGATGTTGAAGCAAAAAGCAATTCGATAGCTCGGGATTCTTTCACATTATTTTTTTTTGGAGCGAAGGCTAGAGGTGTGAAATTTGAAGAGTTGCTTTTCTTCCCCTTTTGATGGGTGATGAAAAGCTCGGACGGGGTGCAGAGGTGAGCTGACGAAGTGAAGCTTGTAAGGAGGAGCTTGAGCGAGGTACGAGCAGGCCAGCCGTGGGCCTCACACGCGAATCGGAACTCGCAGGAGGCAGGATAGGTCACCCCTCGGCACGATATAAAGCGCGTGACTGAAGATTCACCCCTTCCGTGCCAACACGGGGTCCGTACAAAGACGAGCCGATAGCCCTAACAAGGAGCTTGCCAGCATGTAAATGACTTGTAATTCAATTAAACACTCCCATACCGTCTTGCTGTGCTTTAGGAGATCGGCCAGTTGGTATAGTGCGTTATAAAGACCACCGGTACTGCCATTTCCCCATAGGGTAAACGTATACCACAGACCCGTGCGAAAAGAGCAACCAGGCGTTCACACATAAATCCATTACAAGCACTGTGTACACTCGCCAACCTCAGTGGATTACACACAAAAATCACTTTACATATCAAACATAGAATTGGCAAAACAGAGAACATTACAAAGGTAATACCTGGATTAGTGTCATCTTACATACGCCCCCTCACAGAACGCAGATAATCCCTCCAATACCTTGCTGAGTTAGTGTGGAAAACCGCAGTATTATTTCTTCTATACAAAACTGGCTTCAACTCACCTTTTTCTCCCTGTCTTGAGGCTCTATAAAGAAGACTGACTTTTCCTTTTTGAGTTTGTCCTTCTTGCCGCTTTTCGTCGACAGTGAGTTTACAAAATCCAAGCGGCAATGGTTTCTGCTGGACTGGTTCGCCATGACTGACGCCCGCGTACAGTCTGAAGCCACGACACAAAACTATCTTTATTGCTCTGCCAGTAGATTTCCTAATTGGCCTTGTCACGTTGAAATTAAGATGGATTTCTACATTCCTGCCTCTTCATAAGGCAGAGCTGTTCATTATAAAAAGTAGAATCTATGCGTTTCACTAGACGTGGGAAACCTCAGTTGCAATCACAAACCAAGACATTGTCTTAGCGTGTAGTTCCCCCAACCAGCGGGAAAACGGCATAATGTCCATGCAACTGGTGTGGCGACTGGCGCAAGCCGCCAACTTTATATGTCCGCAGTGCCCCTCATATTCTGTGACGATTTTGATAATTATTTTTTGATCAGTTTCAGCCGAGAGGTTCTGGCAATGTCAATTAAATTATCAGAATTAAATGGACGGAAAACGTATTGGGAGAGCGGATATCTTGCCAAGGCCGAGGCCACAGACTTGATGCAGGGGGAGTTTTTTTTTTAAGTGGCCGGCTCACCGTCAATTTAAAGTCAAACATAAATTTGTTGCAAGTTTCTCCTCTTTTTTTCAGTTGCATTACAAATCGATGAAAAAAATATCCCGTATTGATCTAATACAGTAACTTGACCCGTTCATGAACCGAAAGCAATGCAGGAAACTAACAGAAACCCCCCACCGCCAAAAAAAAACCTTTTCAGTTTCTTCAAAGTAATCCCCGAACGACAAAAATCAATGTTTTCAGAATAGACATTTTCAGTCTCTTAATTTTGCCCAACGCCCTACCATTTCGATGCAAGTCTTAATTTTTTATACTGGATATTAATCGTTTGCTCTGAATTTAACTGAAGACATACGTGGTACGAACGAGGAAATTGTCATTACACCATCTCGTGCAGAAATCGTCTTAAGGATAAAAAAGCGAGAGCCATACTAACAGGTTGCATATCCTCCTGACTTTCCCTCACGCTGACGCAACACGAGTACTTCTCTTGTGAGTCAAGGGCACTTCAGAGCGCCGATCGCTCACTATACCTCGGGCACAAGACGGCAGGAAATCGCCAATACGAATCCCTAAATGAAAAACACTCCAGGATAACGTTCACTGGTGATAACGTGAAACCAATGTCTCCCAGGCAGTCCAAGACTAAAACGAAGATTCATTTGTAACATTGGAAGACCCAGAAATGCCTTCACTATAGCGAGAAGCACAATATCCGCCATGACACATTTTTGATGATAGTGAACATGTTGGTAACTTACCATTACATCCATTTGTCCTTTAACGAGGCAGTGTTATAATCCTTCTGATCTATACTATACATAAGCAGTCATTCCCAAACACACTGTGAGCACATCGATTTATCGATCATTAATTTGCAATGAATACATTTTAGATGAAAGAAAACTCATTACGTAGCACCTGATGTCGCAGTTTGGAGGATATTGTGCAGGGCCGGCAGGGAGAATAATGTGACGACGACTTTCAATGCCTATTCGCATGCAATTTATTTAAACTTCCATAGGCCTAAATTAAAAAAAAGATGCTTTCTCCTTTCGAACGATTACATAATGGACCTTCATAATATTGTTTGTTTAAAAACAAAATGGTTAGAAAAGATTGTCAATGGGATCATGCTGTTACCTAACGGCCCCTATAAACTGAAGAAAAGACATGGGTGTAACAAGGCCCTTGCTTAAAAAACAAATACTTGTTGGACCCTGTGACCTTAGACAAATAGACAAATGCCGGTAGGCTAAGCATTGTGTTTAAATTTAAATTGTATGGGTAGGCATAGCATTCACTGTGTGGACTTCCGAACAAAAGAGGTCCACATAAACCAGGTAGAGGTGACGTTGTGTGGACTTGGGCAAGTCCACACAGTGTTTCCCCATTTCTGGAAAACAGGTTTAGAGGCATTTTTGTGTTAGGTTTATCTAAGGCAAAATGAAGAGAAACACTAAAGGGGATCATAGAAAAAAAAATTGGATTGAAAGAGTTTTCACAGTTTGAGAAAAATGAGTTTTTTCCACTGGTTTTTCTTAACCACACGAAACCTAGGGAATGTCCACACTTGGTATGTAACGTAAACATTTTGTGTGCACGTGGGTGTATTTCGGTCACGTTTACAGGATTCCCAAATGGGCCATATCTCAGACGAACAGGGAAAAAAATGGCAATTCATTTATTTTGTTGATTCGGGCACGCCAAATCGTCATGACTTATTTAAGCGACATTCGAATTGGGAATCTCTCAATGTTTGTCGGTCAAATGCAAGGTTTCAAGTATCACGATCGATAGCCTACAGCTGCAGAGGGCGGGCACCGGGTGTCAGACGTAATAAATTGGGATATTTTAGTGCAACCCCTTCTCGAAAAATTCCTCTCCGAATATCTCTGTTAAAATCTATGTCTTACAATAAACATGTACTAATTACGTCATGACTCAACACTTGAATCAAACAAGTATAAGTCTTTGATATCAGGGGTAACAGTCGCCGAATTACTACAAAATAATTCTGCGCGACACCTGTCAAACCACAAGACCACTGGATCGGTTGGTGTATGGCGTTTAATTAATACCAGCACCATGAATGTGCTTTAAGGCATTGCTGATTACTATTTCCATATAATATGGACAAATGATACTATTTCAATTCATTTTAACAACTCACAATGATCATGCTTTGTGAACTCTAACCCAAGTATTATAACTAAAGCGTGCCAACCTTCAAAGCCATGCTTAATGGATTCCAATTTACATAAAATAATGTATAGAAAGAGAAGCCCCCTTTAGGCCTTTTTCATTCGGCAGTAACCATATGTTCTTAATTGCACCACGTGACTTTTACGATGATCCGAATTTCAAGAAAGACACTTCAATAAAATTACAATTATGGTATTCAAGTAGTAAAACGAGGTTGACTTTATTAAATTCTGAGTAAACCAAATGGTGTCTTTAGAACTGTAGTGCAAAACAGACTTCCGACTCGATATTAAAAAAAATAATTGGGAAGGCAATACGTTCCAAGTAAATTGTATTGCATTTTTTAATTATGTCAAATGCAGGCAAACATATGACTGTGATCGTAAAAAGTGGAAAGCCACATTATACAAATAAAATAATACATAAAGTATTTTTACAGATTTTTACAAAGCACAGAAGTCGATTTGAATGTGTTGTTTGTTTTCCATGTGTTCTCGATCTCTCGCCTGCCACTGTTCATGAGATGGTGCTCTTCCATATTCGCACCGAATACATTAGAATGATAACTCACGTATGGCCATGTTATAATTCGGAATAAGGGACCAGTTCACCCGCCCGTATATTAAATTTTCCTCCGCGAATAAGAAGACCCAGGGATGGCCGCAGATTGTGCAAAGAAAAACCCACAATCACGGTCTGGGTCTCGGCTACGTGCTTCCGGAGGCTTAAACGCTCCATAATTCGCTTTGGATGAGTTATATTCCAGCGGCCCGGTAGCGACGAAGGGGGAAAAAAGTGCACATCGCGACCTCTACCCACGCAACGCCCATGGGCGTATAACCTTCGTGCTAGGAGATGGCTATTAAGTCTCATGTGCACACTCGAATGAATGAGTTAGATCGGCAATCGAGGTCGATCCCTTGCTGGAACCACGATGTATTTCCCATATTATTAGACATTAATATGTGCAGGAGAATTCCCCTACTGCTGTTTAAACTTTTCGTCTCATTTGCAATGATAAATTCCATAAATGGTGTCGTAAGGATGGCATTGCCTTGTCACGCCTCAGATCATTCATTTCCAACCGAGTGACTTCATTGTTTGACGAGTATTTCTGATACAGCATCTGCTGCTGAGCCATATCCCTTGCACCATTGTAGACCAACCCCTTTTCACGCCAATCTATCTTTACATTATCCTTCAGAGAATCCCAGGAACTTAATACGAAAGTTTTGTCATAATATCGCTCTATCTTTGTGTGCAATGTATACCTTGACGAGAGAAAAGAGGTAACCGCATCGTTGTTCCGATCTCCTCCTCAATTTATTCAAAAGCTCTTATGACATTCGTTTCAAGCGATGTCGAGGATGCAACGGAGTCAGGCAACTTAGTATTGAATTCGTAGTAATGATGGCAGAAAATTAAACTTAATTGTCATTTATCTTTTTATCAAATTTTGAATATCTTCCGTAAAACAATTAATATTTACATTAATTTTCGTTATTTCACCTCCTTTCTTGCCGCAGAGATCAAGAGAGATTAATTACTATTTTTTCCTTTTAACATCACCTGCCATTGACAATCCGAGGCTTATTATTGCTATTAATTAATTGCATTTTCTTTTTTACTCCTTTTTCTGTTTTTGTCTTTTCCCATACATGTTTTCCTTGAGTTCTCTTCATGTACATTCTATATGATTTATATATCTGTTTGTGGTTGAGTAGAAATACATGTTGCAATGGATTGAATCGAATTGCAACTATGTTCTTGCAATGGTCATTTGAATTAAACGCGAGGTGTCAAGTCAGCAATAGAATACACTTAGGCCTACATTTTTATGTCCACCATATTTTGCAAAA